ACCGTAGATTGAAACCAATGGAAACCAACACAAGCCAGACGAAGCAAGACAATCCACAAAACCGGTACTTGAAAATGAGTCTTCTTCCAAACTACTTGGCCTTTTGCATGTTTTCCTTGTCAGATCTTTTTTTCGACCGTCTTGAGGAATTGCGAGTCGCACAAGATATTCTTTTTCACATACAGAAGGCTTCAAAGCGACCGAAGAATTTCTTGATCTGGCATGATTTGTCGTTTTTTCTCCAAACCGTTCGAAATGAAAGACCCAGAATGACATCGAACAACAATACCCTGCTCAATCATATTTGTTGGTGCATTGGAGTTGCACATTTGGCTGGGTGAGTTTGTTGATGTTTATTTCAAGGTTGTTTGACCATGAAATGGAACGAATCCGAATCAGAGGTTGTCTATTCTGATCCAGCGATCCGAACCGGCATGTCTCAGTCGAATCACCTAACAGGAACCAATTGAAACCAACACAAGCAATGCGAACCAAGACTATCCACAAAACATGACCTTGAAAACGATTCTTCTTCCAAACTACTTGGCCGTTTGCATGTTTTCCTTTTCAGATCTTTTTTCCGACCGTCTCGAGGGATTGCGACACGCACCAGATATTCTTTTTCACACACAGAAGGCTTCAAAGCGACCGAAGAATTTCTAGATCTGGCATGATTTGTCGTTTTTTTCTCCAAACCGTTTGAAATGAAAGACCCAGAATGACATCGAACAACAATACCCTGCTCAATCAGACTTGTGGGTGCATTGGAGTTGCACATTTTGCTGGGAGAGTTTGTTGATGTTGATTTCAAGCGAAGTCGTTTTACAATGAAATGGAACGAATCCGAATCAGAGGTTGTCTATTCTGATCCAGCGATCGATATGTCTCAGTCCAATGGTTGTCTATTCTGATCCAACGATCGACATGTCTCAGTCCAATCACCTTAGACGTAGAGAGGGGGGGGAGGGGGGGAGGGGGGGGTGAGGGGTAAGTTCCCCCAGAAGTAGCATTTGCTTAACTGGACCTGATCGAAACACCAAGTGAAGTCACACGAATGCGATCGGTGTGCGAGCGGCAGCGATGCACACCTTTTCTATGGCTGCGGATGCAGGTATTGGGCTACTAAGTCTTGAGCCTTGAGCCAAATGAATTAGGTCGAAAGCGGACTGAAGAGCTACGAACTAATCTATACAAGATAACAGGTGCTACACACGTATAGCGTAGACACGCCTAGGGGACCTAGGACCCTACCAAACACAAAACAGACACAAATTTTCTTCGTGTCGAAGCTTACGATTTCTAAAGTACAAAAGCTTGGATGGCAAAAGGATGCAAATGAATTACAAGAGTTCTGTCTTCGCAGAACTAGACCGTAGATGCCATTCTGGCTCATCTAGGTTGCGTCAGATAATCTTTACAAATCTACGAAAGGCATATTGCTGCATCGAACGTTCCGGAATATCGGAGATCTTCTTATTCAAGTCAAATTGTTAAGTCAAAATCAAATCTGTAAGGCCTTTATTTTAGATGTATCTGGGTCTTTCAAAATATGCATTTAGCTCTCTGGCACTTAGCTGTGGTCTAGCCGGCATATCGGCTTCTCAGAGACTATCTACCAGTTCCTGTACCCACGGTTCCAGGATGATGATGAGGAACTGGCATACCACCATGAACTTGATGCGCCCGAGGACCAGCTGTCCGATGGCTGCCAGGACTGGTCCCAGCCTGCTTGACGAGCTTGTCGGTTCTGCCGAGATCGTTCCTTCAAACGTTCAAGTCTTTCGGCATTCTTCTCGCCACGGTTCACGGCGGAGATCTGGCTGCGAACTCTGATCTTGTGTCGGCTGGCAAGTGAAAAATTACACTGGAATGGATGGTGATAACCCGGATCACTGCTCTTCAAACACAGATCAAGATGATTCAAATGCTTAAGGAGTTCGTTGACCTTTATAGTAGTCTCTTTTTGACGAGGAGGTTGCTCGTATCCTACACGTCCACGATCATCCGTAATATCGGATGTTCTTGCCCGCAACGTGCGCATGTCCTTGCCGTAATTTAAGGCGATCTGCAGCATACAGTCGCAATCGGCATCCAGACCTTCCAAAGCGGCGAGCTGCTCACTGGCGAGGGTTGAGACCTCCCAGTTATAAGTTATGCGCTTGCTCGACTCACGCTTCTTGTTCGCGGATACAAGGATCTGGTCAAGGATGGTGAAGACAGCTCCGGTCGCTGGATCGGCATGTCGATCGCCCCGGAAGTTGCGGTTCGTGAACTGATTGGCATCACACACGATGACGTCTACCTGGTCTGCCACGGCCGTTACCACAAGGACGGGTTGACTTGGCTCATGTTGTTTTGTTTACAAATCATACATATTCTACTTACCGTGAACTTATCTCGTGAGGTTTAAGCTGATTTATAAGTTGACTTATAAGTTAGTGTAAGTATGACAAGCGTTTTTGGAAAAGCTTGCTTTTGCAATTTTTTTGATTTTCACATTTTTCAATTTTTCCATGCTTTTTTTCAACAATTTTGATGATGTTTCAAAAAAAGCTATTTTTTGTTCATTTTTGGAATGGCGTCAGAAAACCTTTGTTTTCTACAGCGGGCACACCGCCATGTCTTCAACCTTCTGCTATTGAATGAACGCTCCATACCACATACCCTTTTTGAAGACGCCAAGACTGAAGTATTGGTTCCTACACAAGGCACAAGCAATCCTACAGCGGAGGAACCGCCCACAATCCTACAGCGGAGGTATACCGCCGAATTGAACCTACAGCGGAGACACCGCCCTCAACAAGACAGCAAGACCTACAGCGGACACACCGCCTCCACAGGAAGAATCTGTCACAGGAAGATGTCTGAGTCTATATATATTCTATATATATATATATTAACATATGTAAATATTTGTGCTCCACAGGAAGTACACCGTTTTTCGATAATTGACTTGGACCCTCCATCCCAAAAAAGACCCGACTACATCTGACTACACACCGACTACATTCTGACTACATACGTCGTCAGAACGAAGTCAGGCCCGACTACATTCTGACTACATACGTCGTCAGAACGAAGTCAGGCCCGACTACATTCTGACTACATACGTCGTCAGAACGAAGTCAGGCCCGACTGAATTCTGACTACACACGTCGTCAGAATGATGTCAGATGATGTCAGCCAACCCCATCCATTTTAGCTTATCCTTCCAAGACAGAGGTTATCACACCCTGCTTGGCAGGGATCCTGTACAAGATTGTTATGTACAAATGGACAGTCAGCAAAGTAAAGATCAGGCCCTGGTCTTAACTTTGTCCTGGCGAATGTCTGTGAAGCGTCCTGCTTGGCAGGATAGCTGGTACACAGCTTGCTATGTACAAAGCAACAATTCTTTCCAGAAAGAGTTGTTGCGTGAGTAATGTGTATCCTTCAGTCTGTCGCAAACGCCCTGCTTGGCAGGGATTTCCTACAGCGGACAACCCGCCAACATGACCTGCGCAACTCCTTTGACACAATTAGTTATAGTCAATGATAGTGCATGTATACAGCCATCGAAATGAACCGAGTCAAAAATTCTATTCAAAAAGCAACTTTTATCAGAAAAAAAGCAAAATCTATTCAAAAAACCAAGAAAAACATCCCAAAAAACAGACTTTACCCAAAAAAACATCAAAAAAAACAAGGTTTTGTAAGTACGCTTAAGTGCGCAGTAAGTTAGAATAAGTTGTTTTTGCAAAATCTCGATTCAGAAGATATAAAACACTTACAAACAGAGCATGTGCACTGTATCTAAGCTTAAGTGCTGCGGAACACTCACTGCAGCTCACGCAGTTTTAGACAAATGTATAACCTCAGTTACACTATAATATAACGTCAGTTAGGTCAACATATACCTAGGGTTAAGTTAACCCGTCCTTGTGGTATCAAAATCTTCATGATGGCGTTCTTACCGGCCGTAATACCTGACTGAAAAGCATGGGCATTGACATGAAAGGCGCAAACTCGAAGTTCAGGCATGTGCATGCGCTTGCAGTCGTTCAAACTCCCGGTCCGGAATGTCGGACACTCGTGGAATAATGCCTCTGCATCCACTGGGTTCGCTTCGGTATAAGTGGTGGATGCTTGTGCTACAGCTAAACTGTCAGGGCAGACGATCACCTCCATGTTATCTGCTGGATCAGCGCCTGCTTCTAAGGGCAACTCGGAGGTTCTTTCTTACTCCACGGTCATCGGTGATGCCTCCATCTGTTGATTCATCGACCTTTCCCCAGATCACGCGGAATGTCGCGGCATGGGCTACCCAGGCTAGGCGGTCGCCTTCGAGGAGTTGGTTTTCGCGTCGGCGCTTGTCCGAGACGCTTGATTTTTGTCTGAGACTGCGCTGCACTTCCTAAACTGCACAGCCGGCAGTCCGTGAGAGAACCCTATATAGAGCTGCGCGCGGACGCGCCGTTCCCCGTGGGTATATGAAAAGCGTGCTCCCTGGTTTGTGGGAAAATTGTGGGAATTTGTGGGAAGACTTTGGAGAGGTAGATTGCGGGAAAGACCCTGCCAATTACCTTTAATGAGGGAAATTGTGGGAAGATGGAAAAATATAGAAATCATTTGTGGGAAATTTGTGGGAAGACCGGGACGGGAAATCTTGTTTTTTGGTAATTTTTTTTTTGGGGGGTGGTTGGGGGCTTCCGCGCCGCTCGTTTTTGTTGCTTGTGTCGTGTCTCCGACGCCTCCGCAGAGATATATACATGTATACACGGCCCCAGACAGACGGCCATGGCAGTTCAGACAGCCAGCAACGACGCTGCGGGACCGAGACTGTCGCTGCAGAAGCAGGACTGCAAGCGACGGCGTGCCGACTTCCACGCTTTGGAGGCACGCGCAGTTGAGCGGGCACGTGCGTGGAGCCGAAAGAGCGGCAGACTTCTTCGCCAGGGGAAAAGAAGTCAAGGCTGGAGGGGCTGTTTGGGCCGGCGGCCCGCTGGGTCAGCCGCAGGACCATGGATTGTGTGAAGTTTTTCGCTCCTGCTCGAGTGTCTGATGCTGTGGCGCGCCACGGTCTGGGACCCTTTGTTGGCGCGCAAGTGGGCGTGCGCAGAGCTGTCGCCACGCAGGACTCCGCGACAGTCCGCTCTGCGCACAGGGGCCCCCGCGCGTCGGCGCAATGGACGCCCCTCTCGCCCATGGGACAGCAGGCGAAAGGATCCTCCCGCAAAGCCAACAACCACCAAAACACATATTCAAGCGTCGCAGAAGCTGCGACGCCAGCTGCGTCCACCTTTATTGGTGGGCGGCGCAGAAGCGCCGACGCCAGCGGATTCCGCTGGACTCTGGAGCGGCGAGAACAGTTGCGGACGACGGTGCTGCGATTGTTGCAGCTGTACCGGGCACAGGACTCCCTGTTCACATGGGCCGCTCTGCCAAAGATCTGTGCGATCCCGGCGACCATGGCCGCTCCGCTCTTTGCTGTGCGCGCCAGCCGTGAGCGCCACAGGCGCGCGCGCGCCGGCGCTGACGCGCGGAGCGCACGGCGCGTGGGGCGGCGGCCCTGCGTGTGGACGGTCCATCGGTGGGCGGAACGCGCGCTCAAGGGAGCGCTGCTGCGCAGCTCCTGCGGCGGAGCTGCTGGGGCATCAAAGCGCTGCTGCGCTGCTCCTGCGGCGGAGCGGCTGGGGCGACAAAGCGCAGCTCGCAGTGCGCCCGAAAAGGTCCAGAGCGGCGATCGAAGATGCGCGCAAACGCATCCGTCGGGGAAAAAAGGTCAACATGTCTTCCACAGATATATAAATTTATATCACATATTTGACTTGCAGCCGTTTTGGTTTCCCCCTTTTTGTTCTGGGCCGCTTCCTTCCGCGACAGATGTCGACGACAGAGACGCGCATGCTGTGCCCGGCGTGCGCCTGTCTGCGACCGCGGACAAAGGCTTGGTGGATGCCAAGCCAGCTGTCCTCCCGCAAACCCAACATCCACCAATTCAACTGTTGTAGAAGCTGCGACGCCAGCGGATTCTTCTCGACTCCGGAGTGGCGGGGACAGGTGCGGGCGACGGTGCTGCGACTGTTGCAGCTGTACCGGGAGCAGAACTGCCAGGCCCACTTTGAGCAGTTCTTGTCCAAGTGGGCCGGTCTGCCGTACCGCGTCCGCAAAGACCTGTCCTACGAAGGCACGATATACTGCCATCACCGTGGGGAGCGGTGCGACCCCGGCGACAAAGTATATCTCCAAGCCTTGCAGCTGCGCGCTCCCCGTTGGTTGCGGGAATCGGGGTTCGGCCTCGATCGCGCGGCGGACATGCTTGAGGGCATGTTCGGGGAGGCGGCCCGCCTGGGTCAGCCGGACAATGGAGTGTGTAAGTTTTTCAACTTACTGCTCCAGTGTCTGATGCTCCTGTGGTACGCCACGGGCCGGGACCCTTTGTCGTATATGGCTCTGAGGAGAACCTGCGACTTGCAATTTTGTGACCTTTTGGTCACCGAATTCTCCGCTGGCGCTTGCTGCGGAGCTGGAATGCTGCCCTATCGTTGGCGCGGCTAAAAGGTTGCGCGCGCCTTTGCGTTTGCCTGATATACGCGTCCTATATATATATTATATATAGGACGCACATATATATATATATGTATATCGCTTAGATAAAATATAACAAATAAATCATGTATACGCAGTTTTTACGTATATAAACCGTCTTGCGAAAACCAGAAGTTGGGCGCAGTTGTAAATAATAATCAACTTGCGGAATCATGTATATACATATTTATCTGAGGTCACGCGCGTGTATACTAAGACACGCGTGCGGTATGGAAACACGAAAAGAGCATGCTCGACTTACATCAAATATTAAAAGACGCATATATAGACAAAGTACACACTCAGCGGGTCTTATAAGTATATATATATATATTTGAATAAATATGTAAGCGTGCGCTTTTGAGGAAGTATATATTTATACAATACGTCTATAGCGGCCTGGCGCCCCATCTTGTTTAAAATCGCACGCGCTCACAGACAGAATCAAAACCTTCCAAAACACAACATGTTCTACTTACCGTCGCACTTGTCCTACTTATTCGGTAAGGTCCATAAGTCGGATAAGTTGACTTATGTTACTTATAAGTATAAGTAGCGTAACAGGACTTATAAGTAAAAAAACACAAGGTACCCTGTTGAGCCGCCACCGAGAACAAGGTCTTTGATTTCTTGCAAACGGTGCAGTCGACCGGCATATCGGTCATCCGGATGCCAACCCTCGGATTCAGCTGCGAAGGGAATCGTGAAATCGATTACCCACAAAGAAGTTAAATTCGTGGTACCCAGCTGTTAAATTAGATTGATCAGCTGTCAGAGGTTGAGATACCCACGGCTACCGCTACCATACCTGGACCTGATGCCAAGCCAGTGGGTGCATGGATGCCAAATTGCGTTCAGGGTAAAAGCAAAGTAAACCTGGACGCCAAACAGTGTGTTGAACAATTCCCTTTGGGCCGGTAACTCGGAAGTTTCATGTCCAGAATATATAATAAACACAATAACATAACATAGACATGTATGTTGAACATATACATGAAGTGCTCATGCCCAGAAAACAAACACAACATCTAGCATCGGTGCGCTACCTTTTTTCTGCACTGAACTTGGTAAAGTAAAACGTGCCACGCCCACACCACAGTACTATGTGGGCACACTAGCTTGCATTCACCAACACGTATGCCCCTCTCTCAACCCAGGGCTCTAGAGCGTATGCGCCAAAAAACTGTTGTAAACACATGTAGTAAACGCAACGTGTTTCACAAAGATTGTAAGTGAGGCTGTTGGAAGTCCAACATTCAAAATTCCACTCTCAGGATCTCTCAGGCAATACCTGGCACAGAGAGTGTGGACATAATTTGCAAACACATGCATCCTGAGGGATTAAGTAATTCAACGAACCACATGATCATAACTCTTTTCCCTCACCTTGAAGCCGTGGTGAAAGTGAAAATGAGCTTTGTACTCATGCCAGCATACGTGGCCACATACGCATTGCATCCGTGTTCACAGACCTTGTTATTCCCCTCAAGGCCAAACACGGTTTTCCGCGACCCATGTTTGAAAATTAGATTTGAATCCCTTTGTCACTTGCCATCACTGCCGCACGCTCCTGGGATTCCATCCACTGCTGGTGGGCAGCCTTCATATCACATCCATTTGCCATAGCTTTCCTCACCTTACTGCGTAGACCAGTGCTCTATAGAGTACAGGTTTCAAAATTCAAATGTGATCCAAAAAACTTCTATAGAACCAAAACGTGTTCATGCAATGTTTAGGGACATAGTCCCAGCGGATCTTGTGTTTATCCGACTTTGGTTTCTGTGAAGATGAAGAAGAAGCTGCTGCTGGCGGTGTGGTTTCCACTGCTTCCTTGTCATCCTTTGCCGTGCTCCTCGAAACCTTTTTTGTTCCAGAAACATTTTCATCACATCACAATCAACGTCTAAAAAACATCAACATATGAAATCAAAAAATTGATGAACAAGATTGGTGGCCCCCTTCTTTGCAAAGTTCTGGTGCCATGCCCTTGAAGTCACCCGCTTGCGCTCAGCACGCTCTTCCAAGATTGCCTCCTTGGTGACGGGGTCCATATCCTCCGTCAGTTGCACCCCAGCGTATTTCCACTGACTGGCAGGAACATCCTCCCAGGGAGTGATCCAAGTTCTCAACAAACCAAACCTCACACCAAAAGAATGGTTAAATCATTGCGCAACAACAAGTTGGAAAAAACACACCAGTGGATCCTCAGCAGGCAATGCATCATCACATTTCATCTTTCGGAGACGTTTGCGAGCTGGCTCTGGGGTGAGCTCTGCTGGAGCACTGACGCATTGCGATGCATCGTCCTTCACGGTCATATTCTGTTTGTCAGCATTTTCCTTGTCAGCATTCTCCTTGTCAGCATTCTGCACCTGCTCGATCACATTCGGCGTGGTCTCTTCATCCAATGCCTCTTTCTTGGTCTCTTCATCGTCAAAGAGTCGTTTGGGCTCAACCTGATTGGAAACTCTTTTGCATCAATGGTGTTGAAATGAATAAACACTGAACAAACCGTTGACTGCAAAACTATGCAGAATACAAAATCCTTTTTGTTTGTTAAGTCACCGTCTCATTCACATTGTTTGAAGACATACCATTCGAAGCACCCCAGAAGTCGTCAAGTGCATCTGGCTGAGTATCAGGGAAAGTCGCCTCATACGGGTCGAAGAAGGCGTAGTGCTGCTTTGCTGAAACTTCATCTCCATGAAGTGGTGCTGCCAAACCCCGCACCACCTGAAGATCAACAAGTGGCCTTGCCTTGCCACCCAATGAACTTGAAAAAAATATTCCAAACTAACAAGAAATAACAATGGAACTTGAGGGTCACAGTCAAAGTGACTTCACGTGGAAGAGGTTCAACTGGCTGAGCTTGACCAGGGACTGCTGCAAAGCGTTGCAAGTTCTCACTGAGCTTGAACTCGAAGAACTGGGCATTCTGCCTTTGCAAATCCTTCTTTGGAACTGGAACCACAACAGGTGGAGCTGGCTTAGAAGCCACAGGCACTGGGACAGACATGGAGCCAGTGAAGCCGGGTTTTGAAGTCAGCGAAGCATCCAAATGCTTCTCCATCAAGGTTTCGGCTGCACGACTTCCCTCCATTTCAAGATCGACCACAGGCGCAGACATGAGAAAAGACTGACAAAAGCCTACTGGGAGCAGCTATGATTTGGGTTCAAAGAACTGCTTCCATGACAAATTATTGGTGACAGCATCGAAAGCAAAACAACATGACACAAGACAAACAGTTCCTCAGCGACCAACAAACACTTCTATTTTCACCTGAGGGCTGCTGCAAGCAATCTTTGCGCACAGGATCTGAATCACACGACTTGGTAGACCATGTTCGCCTCCATTGTAAAGGAATCCTTGAAATACCAAAGAGGCTTAGCTGGACCCAGCACTTTCTCACGGGAAAAGTGGCGCATTCCTGAAGTACAGAGTTCCGAGCGCCCCGAGGTCAACCTTGTCAAACATGCCCACACCCTGCCCAAAGAAGTGCACACAAAACTTATTTTAAAAGATCCATTCAAGCAGCTCCACACCAACGTCAGCCAAGAACTGTCTGCTAGAGCCTTGTAGCCAATGAGGCCGGCAAGGTTTGTGAACTTCGCACTTTTTGCCAAAACAGGGTTTGGCCTGTATACGCTGTGTGTCTCATGGGTGATCTCATACCTTTCAGGGATGAAGGTCAACAACCACCATCTCAATTTGCTTTTAACACCCTCACCTGTCTGCCTCTTCTCCTCGCATGACGGCTGCTGGTCGTGTGAGCTTGTGCCCAGCGATGGTAGTGTCCAGATGCCCCTCCTTCTCCAAGTCATTCATCAACTTCTTGAAAGGCATTGGCAGGGAGTCAAACTTTCCAGTGGTTGAGGATTCTTCAAAGACAACCTCAATCTCAACCCTTCCAGATTCAGGCCAATCACTGAATCACTGCAGTAGAAAAAGTATAAAACAAGACAATGTGTCCTAAAGGATGGCCTAGAAACCCTTTGCTTCTCATCTTGAAGTCTGAACTCGATGGCCTTGTTTTCGTTCGCCGATTTGCTGAGAAAATCCTTCGCCTTGTAGGGGTGGCATCATCAATCAACAAGAAACAAGGACTCTGTGAACCAAGTTTGGGCACCCTAGTCCTTTGCACCGTCGCTGATCCATGAGCCCCCAGCATACAAGAAAGCCGGCTTTGCATTCGGAGAGGTGATGCCTGGAATGGTGAATTTGCTACCACAGGTGATCCAGCACTTGTTCTCCACAAGGTAGCACGTGACCTGCTCCTGAAGGCTCAGCACCACCGTCGCGGTGAGGGTGGGGTACTTTGCCTTGAACTGATCCACAGTGATGCCTGCTGGAGCTTCACGGATTGTCTCACTCGGTGTCACCACCTTTGCTGCAGCATTGGTCTCAGCAAGGTCCATGTTCTCAGCACTTGTGGTGGGTGCTGTTCTCGGGGCTGCGTTTGCATCAGAGACAGGCTGAAAGACTGAGTCAAAGTTGTGCAGCCGCACTCTCCAATCCGGGTCTTAGCGTCAAAAATTACAATTGAAATCCAAAGGCATCCAAACTAATTAGAACCAAGAAAACAGCATACACAAAAAACAGCATATGGATCAAATGAGAAACTCCTGATGGGATCATTGAGCCATTTCTGTCGCATCTCCTGCGGAATGGACAAGTGGCCATTGACCATGTTGCAAATCTTCAGCGTGGGGATCTTTGCAGTGCCAACGGTTTCCTCTGGTGTTGGGTTGTACTTCGGCTGCACCTTCGCAAACAATGAGCGGCCTGCCTTCCAATCCTTCAGGGATAGGCAGCACAACAACAACTGGTTGAGAACTTTTTTTGAACCTCAGGCCTCCAGAAGTTTGTCTTTGATCTGAGTCATTGCATAGTTGAATACCACAGGGCTCGCCTGAACAGCCTCGCTGCTGCATCCCAGGAAGCATGTCTCTTGAAGTTCGCCCATCAGTTCGTAAGCTACCTTAAACAATTCTTTTGCAGACAAAAAAGACACAAAGCAAGAACCAACATAAAAGAAGCAACGTGTTCAACTTCAAGCTCAAAGTTTGTTCAACTTCAAGCTCAAAGTTGCTTTCTCAAATGCGCCTTCGTAACATGTTCTGTGGTGGAACAGCCCACATTGGTTCTTGAGCGTTGAAACTCTGCTCAAGAGGGCTTGGAGGATGGACTTGATGACTCCAGGGGATGAGATGGAGTCACATACTCGCTCATGTTCAGGGGCGGTGCTGGCTTGCATGCGAGCAGATTCCAGTAGTCACATCGCGTGAACGTGTTCTCATCCTGGAGCGGCCTTTCTGAATTGCGAGGTGCACGAAATAAAGTTCCCAACTTCGCCCCCAAGGTGCTTTCCAAGACCACCATGTAGGCAGGAATGGACTGCGGAAAACTCCTCCCCCAGGAGAAAAGTGTCTACAGGGTCCACATACATTTCCTATCAACCCAATGCCAAACACGTCAGCTTTACTCTTGGAACAAAAAACAAATGTAAACTTGATTTGGAATGTGAAATGTAATGTGTCCTGTTCCCATGAAGCTGCTCCAAGCAAAATGTCACTTGTACCATCTTGACTTCCATATTCATGCTGGTGAACTTGTCCTCCAACCTCCTCATGGTTTCATAGTTTCATTTTAATACACGCAAATGGAGAAACATTGGTCCGACAACTTTAAATAAAAACATGCTGAACCAAGAAATGCTCCAAGATTCCTGTACTCGCCCCTTAAACCGCCCAGGAGCCCCTCTGCAGCCAGCAATGGTGCTGCAATGAAGACAACACCTCCACACAGTATCATGTGACAAAAAAGCACAGTGACACCCATCAAAAACATGAACAGCTGAGGCACTGAAGTTGGGGTTGATGCTCAAGATCTTGTAGCACCAGTCAGCAAGTTCCTGCACATCTGGGGCTGCAAGCCGCCCCAACTTCAGTAGGTCAGCGTACCCGATGTGGTGCATGTGTTCAAGGTCTGCGCCATCGAACATGCTCTTGGCTTCCTGGAGCACTCTCCGTTGCATGGTAGCAATGTTGCCTTGCTGACTGCCAACAGTTACCAAGAGCCTCTTCTGCATGAATGCCTCCACAATGCCAAGCCCAACCTCCAATTGAGACTTGAGGTGAAGGACCTGCTCAGGCCCAGGTTGAAATCGTGTGTGAGATGTTCCAAAGTTGGTTAAAACATAGCATGAATGTGGACAAAGAACATGTTTGGGCCTCTGTAACGTGTTTGTTGGACTCAAGCTTGTTGCAGCGTAGATTGTAAGCAACGGCTGCTTTAAAGTCAGCAGCGAGGTTCACACAGTCCAATGAATACGTTGCTTGGGCCAGTTTCTCCTCAATCAGCTTGCAATCAAACAAATGAGTCAAAGTCAATGGAGTGTGGGTGGGTATAGTAAACAAAAGACCACCAAAAAAAACTATTAATATAGGACTTGCATCTTCAGCCTCATCTATGTCACCAGCATCGTCAGTGCCGGATGCGGGAGCACTGCTCTTGATAAGCGCACGGCCCACATTGTCTTGCCACATCGCGGTCATCTCAACTTTCATGGTCGCAGGCTTGGCGATGAGCAAAGCATCCAAATCCTGACCATAGTCCCTGAGTTCCACAAGTCTTTCAATTATATAGAAGACCATTTTTAGAGATGCAAAATGAAAACAAAAAGGACTTCTCTGTGTATGAGGCACCCGTTTGTGAACGTGTCCAACATATTCTGAAGCATTTGCTCAGTGACCTTCAGCACAAACAATGACATTAATAAAAACAAAGAATCAGCAAAACAGGTTTAGCAAACCTGTGTTGTTTAACGCAGTGAATACTGAGGGCTTGGCTCCAGGCATCTTCCTGCTCTCCTCCACCACCCAGGCAGCCACACAGCATTGATCTACATGCCTTGACCACACTTCTTCACCCCATCTCAGTCGGCTCCTGGTAGATCGCTTCACACGTCGTGCATTGACAGACCACCATTGGTTGTACTTTTTGAAGTGAAGCTCTTGAGCGGCCTCTGATACCTAGATGTCAAAAGGGGTGAGAAGAGGCACCAATCTTTGGCAGTTTCTGAATAACACATGGAACTGAAACATGAAATAGCTACCACCAATCTCTGGCCAAGGTACTGTCAAGATCATGACCCATTGGCCACTGACACCCTTCGCTCCCTCATGTAGACGGTGACGTCGTGATTTGAGAATGCTCTCATTGTAAGCTGACTCTTCCCACTTGTTGAAGTCTAAATGACTTCTAATCAAACGTTTTGTGGTCGGAGTCATTCCAATCACAATGCCCTCGATGCTCCTCCTCATGTCATCTGAGATTTGCCACTTTCGGATCGCCAGGTTGGATTTGTATGTGTTGTATCTGTCAATTAGCATACCAAGCAATTCCACATCTGTCTTCTCCTCCAAGCTGACCTTGAAGCGCTCTTCCACCATGAGCTTTTCAAATCGCAAGCTCATCTGTAAAGCCTGAGTTGGTTGAATATCCTGCATGCACAGAATGCACACAACTCCCCAAAATCAACAAACTCAAACCAAACACATAAAAAAAAAGGTCAAAAGGTAACATCACAAGCAGGCATCGTTCTTCCGCTGTCGTTCCGCACCCTGGCATGACAGCTGCATTGCCTCAAAGGAAATCTCCTCATGTGCTTGGCCGTGTGATATGCAACTGGGCAAGTTCCAAATGTCACGGATTGCAGGGAGCAAAGGCAAGATCAGATCCTGACAGGCAATCTCTAGGATTTGGCAATCTCAAGTTAGTTCTTTTATCACAACATTGAGATAAACAGCTTTAGACTTCATGTCCTGGCCAGAAACTGGATCCAAATCTGATGCAAGGAGGACTAGAAAAAGCCCAGCGGTCCTCGACTGCAGTAAGGCTGAGCCACCAAAACCAGTCCCACTGAAATTCACACAACAAAGAACTTAAAAGCGAGGACAACACATCACAAGCAAGTGGCAGCCGAGTGAAGCCTTTCTTCACTGAGAGGCTCGGGTTGTATGGCGAATCATCCATTGGCTCTGTATCCTCACCTCTGGAGGAGACAAATGTCAGGTCCAAAGGCTCCCTGTCCAAACGTGATCCTGAAAAAATGAAGCAGATGACCGTTGTGAGGAAGTCCTCGATCACTGGAAGCCCATCATCAGGAGTATGGATTCGGATGGCGTTCAACGGCACCCTCACGTTGACACGAGAATCCATTGATCCGGCTGGTGGGCCAATGTCCTGATAAACAATGGCAATCCCATCACATATCATGCTTTGTCTTAGCTTTCCACGATTTACACAACCACTAAACTATGAAACAAACACAAAACAAAGGTCCAGCTTGCCTTTCATTGCTGAGGAGCAGTTGGCCAAGTTGCCTGCTGAAACGTTTTGCCATGAATTTTGAAGGCATCCTCCAAAAATGTATGAATCTTCTGGCACGTGTTTCCAGCACAAGTATCTTGAAAGGCATTCATGACGACGTCCAAAGGATGGACTGTGGCACCCGCATCTGCATTCATCTTGCTAGGGTCAGTGAACAAGGACAGGTATTCAAGGATGTCCTGTCTATCAACTGGTGTTGTGAGCATTTTCCTGATCAGACCTTCCATGTTTACAAAGGGGTAATGTTAACAAAGCTAACATTTGTAACAAAACAGTCCTTGACAAAGCTGGTGTCGCCTTCAAGTTTCTTGCAACCAGCCATCCATTCAGTCTTCCTCTTTTTCGCTACCGGATCAGCCACCTCTGTCTTCACCTGACCAATGTGATGAAATCATCAAAGAATACACTAGTGGATTGATTTAACCAAATAGGTGAAAACAACAGCGCTAACCTATTTCAAACCTAGAAGCTGGACTGGGACCAGGCTCTTCTTTCTTAGCATCAACCTTCTTGACCAAATCCTTGATGTCCTCGCTCTTTGTAGGTGACCCTTCTGGCTTACATTGTAGTGCTCGCTGAGCTGCAGCTACCCCACTCCGAAGCAATGGGCAATCCATGGTCGGGCTACCCAGGTCGCAATGGACAGTCCCTCAAACACCGCTTGATTGGATAAGGTGATAAGCGTGTTCAATTGCATCAGGTTTCAAAAAATTGTGACAACGCTAAATCGACATGGCTGTCCCCGCGCAATTGTCCAAAGTCGTCGTGGCTGTCCCCGCGCAAGTGTCCAAAGTCGTCGTGGCTGTCCCCGCGCAAGTGTCCAAAGTCGTCGTGGTTGTCCCCGCGCAAGTGTCCAAAGTCGTCGTGGGTTTGCTCCTCACCCCCACCCATTTCTTACTGAAGTCTTCTTCGTATTTCCTATCCCACCCACAAGGAAAAGTCTGACGTTATCTATCAATCAAAGTCGGTGGGGGTTGGCTGCCCACCCACAAGGAAATCATAGGACGTACCCCCCCCCCCAAGGATTCTTCAATTTTTCAAAAAATTGAAAATCGGTGGACCCCCCCTCTACGCCCTATGTTTTCCTTGTGGTTGAGCTGCCCACCCACAAGGAAAAGTTTGACGTTATCTATGAATCAAAATCGGTGGGGGTGGCATTGTTCGTATTGGCAATGCTGAACTTCTGCACTTGGGCCAGCAGTGATTTGTGCTGGCCAGTAAACAAAAAGAGCTGGGCAGACCTGGAAACTGGCTAAGCTGCATCTCATAGGTACGTCTGGCCTAAGTGCAAATTTGTCAAGCGGATAAGAAGGTACAGCCAAGTACAGCTTCAATTCTTTGTAAAAAAATCAGGAGTCTTGGCAAACTTGTTTGTTTTGTATGGCTGATCCAAGCCAGCCATGCAAACAATTTTCTTTGGCTTCTCAAGCTGGCCGTCCTCGGCGCCAAACAACTCGCAATGGCACTGAAGGACTAAGGACAGCAAGAACACACTCATGTGGTTGGCCTTGGGCCACCGGCATCACCTCCTCTTCGGGAGGGGATGCGTGCCAAGGTAATGGCGCTAGTGGTTCTTTAGGTAGGCTATCATTCACAAGTTGTCTCAGGTATTGGCTCGCCCGCTGAGTATCCTCTGTCCCTCCCAACAGGTTGGTGAAGACATCTGCAAGCTTCATCCACTTCTCCTTTGTTTCTGCCGGAATGGGTCGCAAAGGCATAATTCCTTGATTGGCTTCTTGGGATTTAGATTCCAAGAGACTCTTGACCAGTTAATTCCAAGGTAAAAGGTACACAGGAAAGAAGTATATAAATATATATATATATAGATGAATGTTAGGACCTTGGAAAGTCTCACTTCATGAAAAAGTACTGAATGATTCTCAAGTTCCTTCTGGAAGCAAAGGTACACGAGGTGTGTTTTCAGCAAGCGCACAAAGAAGGGGTTTTTGTCGCATCGTGGTCGAGCTGATGTACTCCTTCACAATCACGAAGCCATCATCATCATGCTTTGGTCGCCGCCCATGCCGACCCTCATCAATCTCCACATCAGGAAGGTCTGTCAGGGGTGACATGTTGACATTGGAAATTGGACAGTAAAATGTATTGGGCAAAGCTTTGCCTCGTCTTCTGAGGAAGAAAAAGAAGTGGTTGGCTGTTCTGTCCAACAAAAGGCCACCTTCCTTGGAATTCAATGTGAGGAAACAAGTTCAAGGTGAGAAAAATGGTTTGCGTCAGAGAAGAAAAAGGCAAAAGTTCAACCAAGTACAAGTTGAAAGTCGAATTCAACTGGCGCATACTGTTTGTAGTGACCCTTCCAGTCTCTGTGTGTGCGAAGTGTATGCACCAAGATCTCACCATTCACCCACTTGCGCACACTCGGCTTCTGTAGCTCTGTTGTCAGAATGGAGACAGCTGAATCTGTATCTACAATGCTTGGATTCCTCCCAAGCTGTCTGGATAGCAGCCCCCATAGTTGGTCTTGGTTTGGCCAAGACATTGACCAAACAGATGTGTAATTAAACTTGCAGTGTGAATCAGAAAAAGTGTGTGGGTCAAAGCAAACGGGTGAACACAGATTCGTTCATTGTTCGAAAACGTTGCAATATAGATTTTGGCTTGTGCTATCATGGTGTGATTTCTTGTATTTGGGTCTGGTAATTGGCTGGGTATACAAAATGTGTTGCTGTTGCTGCTGGAATTCTATCATTTCCATTCCCCTTAGAGGCGCACCAACTTCGTTTGTACTCTACACCATGGAAGCCCACCAGGAGAAACATGCAAGAGAAAGGAGATATGAAAAAGATTTAGAAAGAAAACAGCAAAATATTTTGGCTAACCATGTAACAAAGGCTTTAAACAAATGCAATGCCATGATGTGAGACCACACCCATGGCTCTAAGTAGGTGGGTTCAAACACTGAATGACGGAATGAAGTAAGTAAGATTCATTCCCAAGTATGATTACAACAACAAAACAAAGTGAAAGACAAGGTGCCCACGATATCGTGGGTGTGGGCCACCCGCATCATCATCGCACAGGCGTACCTGAGCTCCAAGAACACCTCCTCAGTTTCTTGAAGTTTTGTAAGGCAATGATAAAGGGCAACAAAACAAAAACTTGGACCTCTGAAGTGTGATACAGGCACCTTACCCGCTTGTGAGCTACCAAGCTGAGGAGGTAGTTGAGACAATTGGAGTTCTTGAGTTCCTTCACCGTGTTGTCCCCTACGATTATTACGGTGTCTGGCTTTGCTTGACCTTTCTCCTGAGCAATACGGATTGAGTCTTCAATGGTCATGGCCACAGTCTGAATTACCATCGAGCTGCCATGGTAGGTGGATTCATCAAGAACGCATATTCTCAAACAGTGTGAGAAACTCCAGACAGCATGTAGCTTTAGCCGGGGTCGCTGAAGCTTTTGCGCCCTATGGCAATGTAGTAGTCCTGGTGATCTCGGTATGGCGTATTTGGCCTCAGACTAACCAATTTGTTCAATGCAGGTGGATACTATCATCAGTTTCCTGGAAATCAACCCAAAAGTGAAGGAAATTTATAAATCTTTCATTGAATAGCTAGTTGGCTTGGTCTGCGCCATCTGTTGCCAACACCAATGTCCGTGACAGCGCATCTGTCGTCAGGTCCTTCAGGCTCCAAAAGCAACACCTGTCAGCATACTGCGCTACTAGATGTGCCCGATACAGTTTCAATGCCTGAAGCCGATCCCCCATAGCAAGATTTCGATCCTGATACCTGCACAGTTTGATTGGGGCCCACAACCATTTTCAAATCCTTTGGGGACAGAACCAAATCCATTGACTGAAACCAATCCCAGTTGCTGTGCTTTTAGTTCCTGGCACACGTCACACTGTGCAAACTCACTTCTGGATCTGAACTTGAGAATCAAAGTCCACTTCTCGTTCCAATATTTCAGGAACGTGCCATACCTAGCAGATGTGAATAGCCAACCAGGTTCAGCTCAAGACGGATGAGCTTGTCAAGGGACAAATTTTGATAAGCCTTGTCAACTATTTGGATGGTCTGGCCTACAACAAAAACACAACAAGAAACGCAAAGTAAATGCTCTTCCCATCTCCCAAGGAACGAAGCCTGGTGCTCTATGCCATGAACCGAGCACCATCCAGAGTAAAATTGGAAGATGTCAAACACTGTGCCCGGCGCCAAGTGCTTTCTGGCCAATCCAGCGATGTCCTAATACTAGACCACAAAACAACACAGAACCACCAAACCCTCGTCAACAAAAATAATGTCTAGACCAACAAACAGTGTTGCCATGTTTTGCACTGGCTTAAAGTTGAGGCACAGCAAACCCACCAGTGCTGCACATCTGGAAAAGAAAAGTGGCATTGTTCCCCAAGTACTCTTTGAGGTCCTCATCTTGGTCCACATCAAAATCACTGTGGTAGGTGACACCGCCTTCGCCCCATTGATCAGTGTCGGAATCTACCATTTTCTTCCGCCTTGCTGGGCCCACCCTGACCATCCTCAGATGAACACGCTGTGTGACAAGAAACCAAGCATGACCCAAATTGAAGACACAAATCCCAACGTGTAATATGTCCAAAACATGTCCAAATGCACCACAGGTGCTTGTTTGGCAACGGCTCTGCGACAGAGTTGTAAAGCAGCATACAAAAGGAATCCACTGAGGCCCGCAAAGGTGAAGGCTTAGTCGGTCGCTGTCCAAAGCGACTGTCCACCATGCCGAGTCGGTCAACCCTATGGCTGGAAAGGCCGAGTAGGGTTTCGAAGCACGACCGCCTCATCGGACGTTCCAGGAAACTGTACTCCTTTCTGCTCTTCGTTTCCATGCCACTTGCAGCTAGATACAAGATCGAATCTTGTTCCAGTTTGGTGCATGATTCAAATGAATTCAAGAAGGCAACCACCTCATCGGAAGTAAATTGTTTCCAGCACATCTTGCTTGCGCATTTGCAGTCTGCGCAAACCAAGTTTGCAATTCGTGCCTGTTCAAAAGACAATGGTTGCAGAAGAATAGGGCTAGTTGTATTCAATCAAACCAACATGTTTTTGGCTGTAGGGTGTGCGTAAGAAAACTTGCTCAATTGTTCAATGGAAGGTGCCACATCATTGCGTGGTATCCTTGTTTGTTTTTTGGTGTCCTGGTTCTTCTCCTTCCTCTCATCTGCTGCAGCCTTGCGGTTCATGTTGTTGTAGCATCTCTTCTT